ACACATTCCTGAGTTTCTGAATTTGTTTCTGAGTGCCCCTTCCTATGGCTGGCATATGACCAAGGTCAAGTGAGTGCAGACGAACAGCATGGAGAGTCCAGACAGCCACATAGACAGCTCTCAACAACACTAGTAGACAAGTACTCCCCCTTTGCACCAGGACGTTTGCTGCCATGGGAACTACTAGTTCCACTATAAACACACCCAAACCTGGGCATTTTAGAGATGTACCAGGTTCAGAAGTAAAAGGAGAAGGCTGGAAAAGCAGGAGTTGCATCAGTGCTGGCTGTTTACCAGTTGTGGAGGTAAGGACTGCAGATACTCAGAAGGAAATGTAGGTGTGGCTTGCCTACTTTGTGCCTCCTACTGCCCCCAACCCCACAACCATATCCACAACACACATGCACAATTCCCTCCTATTGTCTCCATTCCCAGAAGGTTTTCACTCACTCTAGCTGTGCCTGTAATTTTATAACTAGGGAACTCATTTTGAGGGTAATAAAGAGTAATATAATCTTTACATGTGAAAAGGTACCTGAGGGTTAAGCAACTCTTATTTACTTCACTAATCTTGCTTCCTTCTAAATCCTAAATAGATTCCCCAAAGGGATTCAGTTTCTGATTGTTGAGGTCACTTAAGTCAGGGTCTAAGGTTCTTTGTGAAGCAAGGCAGGCATGGGATCTGCAACACTGGATATGAAGGGTGGAATGATAGTGCTGAGGACCAAGACAGGGCAGATGAAATAGAGAGGCAACTGTCAAGTTCAAACTTTGTTTTCTTTGAAATTTTGTTTAGAGCCCACTCCTTATGACCTCTCACCCATCCCATCCAGAAAAGTGAAAGTCCCTGCTCACTCCTCTCTCCTCACACCCTGCCCTGACCCCCAGGTCCGAGTTTAAGCAGGCACTAACTAGCACTATATATAACTTGGCTCTGCTCAGGGTTCAAGAAGCTTGTGGGGAGTGGTCTGGGAATCTGAGCATCAAACAGAATGATATTTCTATAAGAAAATTCATGCTGAAATTTAACTATTTGGTCAATAATTCATTCCCAGATTAGGGATTGCTTACACCTGGAAGCAAGTCATAACTCCTCTCATCTACATTATCTTGAATCCAGGCCTCAAGTATCTTCTATTGTCCATTTTGTGAAGGTGTCATACCCACCATGTTGAAGTCTAATTCTTCATAAACAGAGATAGATAAAAAGTATTGTAATGTATACTATAACTATTCTAAATAATGCATTACAGAATATAAGTAGTATATGTAGAAATATAGATACTACTTATCATGCACACTATTGAGTTCTTAGTAAGAAGCTTTCACAGTTGTGAGACCTATACGATAAATGCAGGGACTTTTTGATTTAAGCACTAAAAAAACCAATATTTCTTAGTTTTTTTTAAAAAGATATCTTATGGCAAATTATTTTGCACTGCAAACACTTTTTCATTTGGATTTGTTAATCCAGACTTTATTAATTTTCCTTAGAGTGGGGCAGAGAGAAAATGTCCTGAAGGAAAATTGCCTGGCCCTGGGTATTTAAGTAATCTCTGTACTGCTTTCTTTCACACTGGGGAAGGAATCTTATCAGATTAACTTCATTTAGCAAATATGTATTGAATTTCTAGCAGTGATGGGCACTGGGTCCCTGCTGTCTTGTAGCTCCCCAGTCTAATCAGAGAAACTGTGTCTTACTTCATATTTTTACATATAATGACAAGTAAAGGTGAATGCTCTCAAGGTCCTCATCTCTAAAATAGGTTCAATAATGGCACCTATCATACAGGGCTGTGGTGAGGATTAACTGAGAAAACATGCATGTTTATTGATTACTACAATAACTGGCACAGGGTAAATGTTTGATTGTTATTTCCTAGGAGCACAGGCATGAGGGGGAAAAACTGTGTTTGAAAGAGGTGGATGAGGTCTTAGATGTCAAAGACTAGTAGGTGTTCATTAAGTAATCAGGGGGTGAATATTCCAGGCAAAGGGAGTTGTGTGCAAAGGCACAGAAGTACTATGGGCATGGTAAGTTCCAGGAGGATGGAGTTGGCATGGTGGGAGGATACAGTACACAGGGAGAAAGGGAAAACTGTGGCAAACTAGGAGAGGAGCAGTAAGGCTCTGCAGAGGAGGAGACATTTTGACTGGGTTTTGAAGGACGAGCAGGAGTTTCTCAGACAAAGAAGAGGGAAGGACATTCTAATGGTGAGAAAAGCATATATAAAAACAGAAGTTGTAAAGTGTATTAAATACAGAAGTGGGCAAAAGTAGATTTACAATTGTGAGTACATAAAACCGAGTTGATTCTTGTGTTATTATTATATTAATCTCATATTAATTATAAACCTACTTTTGCCCACCTCTGTATTTCAGAAACTGTATGCTATGCCTGGAACTCTGTTTTCAAGGGTTCATTTCTCCCACATGGAGGTTTCAGAGGTCCTGAGCTTGTTTGCCAGACTGGTGGAATGGGTCTTCTGAAGTCACTTTGCAGAATGAGGGATTTGGTGGGGAATGGGAGCAGTACGTATCCAGCAAAGGGGAAAGGAATTAGGGAGGCAGTCTTGTGTTTGTCTCGGAGGCTTACACTCAACACAGTTTCTGCATACTGACAACTGAGCTCTGAGAAGAGGGCTGAAAGGAAGACATGAAGGACCTGTCTCCATGAAAAAAAAAACAGGAAAGTCTGAGGTACAAGGAGACCCTGTTTTGGTCCACATAATACACACTCAAGAACTATGTGTTAACTGGTTTAATGTACAGTGGCCATGTATAACATTACAGATGGGGGGGAGGGAGGAGGATATTCTCTCTACTTGTGCAAAGGACACAGCACCAGTGGGGAACGTTGAGGATTCCAGAGTACTACCACTATGGTGGCACCTCTAGGCCAGCAAAAGGAGCACCCACCATCAATATCATGGCTGGTAGTGGTGAATGCCAGGAGATGTGTGGTGATGGAGGCAGTGGGCAATCATTTTTTCTAGCAGCACCTATCACAGAGGTGGGCTAAACCAGGAAAAGAGTAAAAGGGTCGGTAACATGTGGTAGCAGCAGAAATTGCCCTTGGGGTTTCCTGGGAATTACTGGGGTGGGAGGGGAAAGACTACAGAGAGAAGAAGATCTTGCAAGATGAGATATGAGCAAAGGTCAATAAACATGGCCTTATATTTAAAAGATCATTTACAATTTTTCTTTTTTAAAAGATTTATTTATTTTTAGAGAGAGGGGAAGGGAGGGAGAAATAGAGGGAAATAAACATAAATATGTGGTTGCCTCTTGGTGCACCCCCTATTGGGGACTGGACCTGCAACCCAGTCACATGCTTTGACTGGGAATTGAACAGGTGATCCTTTGGTTTGCAGGCTGGCACTCAGTCCACTGAGCCACACCAGCCAGTGCAATATTTCAATTACAGTTTATATTCAATATTATTTTATATTAGTTTCATGTGCATAGCATAATGGTAGGCAATCATACACTTACTCTATGTAGTGGTACCCCAATTTTCAAGTACCCACCTGGCACTATACATAGTTGTTACAATATTATTGACTCTATTTCCTATGCTTTACATCCCTTTGACTAGTTTGTAACTAAGGAGGGATGAACCAGCCTAGATCAGAAATGGAGCAGATCAAAACTCCAGTGCTGACTAGTAGGAGAGCACATTTACAGGACTTGGTGCAATCTGGATTTTAGTGATCAGGGAAAGGGAAGATGGCTGATGGAGCCAAGGTGTCTGGTTTGAGTTATGTGTGACTCCCCCAATGAAGTGGGATTAATATTGAAATTTATAGTCTACCATTCCTGTAGACAGTATGTTTGATGTTAAAGAGACCAAACTAACAGAATTGAGAGGAACAAGGTTCAGCTAAATCACAATAAGGGGTTGGCAAAGGCCAAAAGTCTGTCCAGGTTATGGGCCAAGAATTGTGAGTTTTAGGGCTCAGCATGGGGGTATGACTTCTCATGCATCTCACACAATAGGTTAACCCTCTTTATCCCAATAATTTAAATCTTTTTCTTTCTATAGGACCCCTCCCTGCAGCATCAGACATGGCCAAATAGCTCCTATACTGAAGGCAAAAGGCTTTCCTTTGACCTCCTATTCTTCTCCAGTTACTTCCTTATCCTTTTTCTCCACTCTCTGTAACTAAGATTCTCCAAAGAGTTGTCTTTAACTGCTACCTCCAATTCCTCATCTCCCTACTCACTTCTGGCCTGTGCTTCTATCACTCCCCCAGCATTTCACCACCAGACTTGTGTTGCTAACACTGATGCATACTTTATTGTCCTTATGTTATTTGACATTACAGCTCTCTTATATCTTGGCTTCTGTTATAGCACAAATCTAGTTGGTATTAGGGGTTTGAGGGAATAGAATTTGGATATACATATGTGACAAAACTCTTACCCTGCTCCCTATACAAATCTACTACAGAGGAGAAAACCAGAATTGAAGCCCTCTTGAAATCCAAGTCAATGGCATTCTGTCACCAATCTCTTAAATGTCTTGGCCTGAAGGGAAGCCAGAAATCAATGACCATTTTCAGTGACATGCCACTATTTAACATCCATGGCCAAAAAATGAATGCTCACTGTACACTAGACACTATTCTAGTCACTTTATATACATTGAGTAAATTAAACCTCACTGTAAGGCTGTAGGCAAAGGAAAATGGTACCATTATTATCCCCCATTTTATATTTGGGGAAATTGACAAATGGCTTGTAAGTGCCCAGATGGGATTAAAAACCAAGGTAGTCCAACTACAAAGTTCCCTCTCTTAGCTGTTATGCTATAGTGTGTGTATGTTGGGTGTGGGTATCAACCTGAGTGAGAAACAGCCAGGTCTACTTATCACCTGTTACCCAGTCCAAGATCAGCATTGTCCAGAGTCAATCACTTACACAGCCATTACCACACATATGTTTTTCAAAATTCACTTTTTTATTAATTTACAAATTCAGAAATACAGTGACTATATATATAAGTACCACATTTAGGTACATGTCCTGTGGTAAGAGTGAAAGGATAATGCTGTTACATTACCCTTAATTGTTCACATGAGTTAACTATATAAGATAGCTACAACTGCTAAATGGTACTTATTGTCTTTGTTATTCCAAGTATTTATGGTACAAATAAATACACAAGAAGAACCGCATCCATTCCTTTCTACTAACTATAGGTGCTTGGCTGCTGCTTCTTATCTTCTGTTCCCTACAGAACACCAAACACTGGAGACTTTCTATGTTGGCTCAGCACAGTCCCCCAGCTCCTGCTTCATACAGCACTTTGGAAAGGTGTCTTATCACCTGGGGGTAGGAATCTATTTAGGGAAGCTCTCTGGGTGTTCCCTGAAGATTGAGCTTTCAGAGAACACCTGGGCAGGAAGGCTTTGGGGTGAGTCATCAAGAGGGGGAAATCACCACTTTGCTGCAGGATCGGTTACTTCTTTCCACACTATGGAAATACTGTGGTCTTTCATCCCTGGATGTCTTACCTCCCTTCCCTGAGGAGATTGTGTGTGAGGGGCTGGTGAGTGGCTGTCCCATGAAGGCCTGGCCATAAAACCCCTGTGTCTCTTTCATGAGAACTGACTCCTTAATGCCAACTTGCCATAAGACTGAACTTTTTATATTTTTCCCTATTGCTATCAAATACTCTATGAAAACATTCATTTCACCTCTAGTCATAGAGTGTGAAATCTTGGATTTCCAGGTCCTTAATATTTTTAAGTACTCACTAGAATTCATTCATGTCCTTTAGAGGAGGTAAATCTAAAAGGAAGGCTTGATATCTTTGTGATGGAGAATTTATAGTTTTCCCACAGAAATACTTTCTAAAGCCAGACCTCAAAATGGATAATTTATGTTCTGGTATTGGGCTGCAAGTAGACATTTTTGGACCAGCCTTCTCTAGGATCCATAATTGAAATCCATGCTTGGTGGGTGAGATAAGAATGGCAGGAAAGTTTATGATAAAGATCAATATCAGAATTACCATCTTCCCAAATAAGCAATAATCCTCCTAAAGGAAGAGCTGACACTCAGAGGGTCATGAAGACTGAGCCCCTGTATGAAGAAAAAATCTACTCTTGCAATTGGAGAAGAGAAACTGCCCTTTTAAGGAGCTCCTGGAGTTTAATCATTTCACCTAAATTTTTGAACTAGAGAACAATGGTCCCAAGAAAATTGGTGAGTATTGTGCTATTAATTGGTGACCGTTACTGACTTGAAAACACAAAAATGGACTTGTTGATGTCTGTCAACTTCTTTGTGCAACAATTATTTGTCTAATATGGATTAAATTTCTGAAAATATTAGCCAATTCTAACTTCTTTATGGAGGCCCAGTAGGTTCATGGAGAGAAGGGAAGTGGTATCATTAGGGAAAAGTTATTTACCACTTCAAAGTGAATGCAGTCATAGCATGATATTCTTATAGTTCACCATGCCACCATAGTTGGTGACTTCAGCAACCTCATCACAGGCCCAAGGGCAGAGCGTTCTGCTCACAGTCCCTTATTTACTCTCTTGGGTACCAACAACTGCCAAGCTACTTGGGAATCAGGACAAGGAAAGAAGGGGAGAGTCTTATGTTGGCCTTGCCTCATAATAAAGGCTGTACTCTAGTGTGTGTGTGAGAGAGAATTTTTAAGAAAGAACACAAGACATTCTAAAATTTGAAGAGTATAATTTTATACAAATATTTTCTCTGTACTACAGAACTCCTGCTAAGAAGCAATTCCCTTCTCTTTCTTTCATTGGAATAACTTTCTGAATAAAAACCCAGGGGTTTTGTTTACTCTTTAACCTGTAAAGAAATGTGATTCTCCTAGAAACTAGAGAAAAGTTATGGTGCTCCATTTCTCTTCTTCCTACAAATAATTCAAGACTTATCTAGTCTCTTTGGAGAAGGTGTTTAAGGGATGACACACTATTCCACATAAAGGAGCAAGTTATGCTGTGCATGGCATGAATAATTAGCTGCATTTGAGTTTGGGTTTTAGAGCACTGCTGACTTAAGCAAAATACACCTGCAGTCCAGCTGCAGCTTGAGTTTGCTTGCTTTACCCTATTCAATACTGTCTGTCTCATCTAACAGTGACCCTTTTCAGACCTTTCCAGGTACAGAATTTTCACCAAATCTTCAAGCTCTGTTCTGCACACACGACTTGAACACATCTGGCTGACCTGAGCTTCTCCTTCAGTGAATATCTTCCACTGGCCTAAAAGGCAAACACAGAATGGCCTGGATATGTAACAGGTAAGAAGGGACAATTAGGAGTACAACCAATATCCCCAATCCTTCCCTACTCATGCATTGACCCACCAGGGAAACTGGGATACAAATGTCAGGTGGTTTCAACAAAACAGCCCCAAAACACTTTTCTAGGGGCTAACATGGGAAATGAATGGGCCATGGAGTTTTCATTTCAAAACATAGCATTTGTAAGAATCCAAAGAATAATACATAACTGACTCGAGTAAAATTTAAGTATTGTTCTTGGAAATTTTATAGTACATTTAACATTTGCAAAATGATCCATTATCAGATTGCTGCTACTTAGGTAGTTCACATGGGACCAGGTCAAATGAGGCAGTTTGGAAAAAAATACCTGTTACATTACTGGGGCTTTGCTTACTTTGGGGGGCCCAAATGTTGTTTGGGTTACTTGATTATTTACTGCTGTTTTCTCTATTCCTGCCAACCTTTGTTCAAAACTGCTCAATTCTACTTCCTGATATGCCTGCAGTTTGTACTTACCTCCTCCTCAGCATCCCTCAATCCCCTCCCATGGTTCCTTATAGAGTTCCAGTCTACTCCAGATAAACAGGGCTGTACACCTTCTATTCCCTATTTTCTCCTCTCCCTCCATGGAACTGCACACACTTCAAAAGTGTCCTTACCATATTCTCTATCCCACATTCTGTCATGCTAATTGAGCAAGCATTTTTGAGTGCACACTCTGTGCTGAGCACTGGAAACTTTTCCATGTCTCTGGTCCATTCCTTTTCTAACTTTCCTTGTCCTTGAGAGTGGCAAGATCTTTCTTCTCCTGCTATCATCTTGTCCTGTCAAATAATTTACATAACAAACTGCCCATCTTTGATAGCCTCTTAAGTCTTCTTTTATTCCTACACTCAGTGTCACACCTAGAGCGCTCCTAGTTCAAAGTTAGTAAGTGCCTTTTAATTCAGGAGCTATGTTGAACCTCTTCTTTTTTTCACTAGCCACATAAGTATATGACCCTCTCCTTCACAGACTCAATTTCTTGGTTCCTATTTCTTTATTTTATCCAACTCAATGGAAAGGTAGGAGAAAAAAGAAGAGAAGGGTAAGGAACCAGTTTTTACTTGAAGGCCTACTCTGTGTCAGGATCTGAGAGGCACATTATATAAAAAGGCCAGGATTGTTCTTTGTACCCAGATGACTCTGCAGGATCCTCTCATTACCCACTTCCCTCAGCTGCACAGTTTGAAGCACATGCCATCTTAATTCCATTATACATCTCAAACCCTGTTACTAGTAGAAAGTTTGTTTAATCTTTCAAGTTCCCCAGTGCCTAGCAAAGTGCTGTGTTCACAATATGAACAGAAACATATTCTTTGAAATTTTGCTATGTATAATGCACACTTTTCCCCCCAAAATTTTTTAGGGAAAAATAAGGATGTGTATTATACATGGGTACTACTAATTCTGTATCTATATAAATGTTTTAAAGTCTTTATTTTTATGCATTAAAAGCAATAATGATATCTACATGTAAAAATAATATCCTGGAATATGATAATTAGTTTTCTATGTAAATATAAATAAATAACTGAATTAAAAATTAAAACAAAATATTTTTTCCTGAAAGTTTGGGCCAAAAACATGGGTATGCATTATATATGGCAAAATATGGTTAATTGATAATTTCAAAAGTCACATAATTGATCTTAGGATCCTAGACTTGATATCCTTTATTCCTTATTCACATGTAAGTACTCCCAGCTCCTCCATTTTAATTTTCCTATATTCCAGTTTATTGTCTGTCAGTCTCCTGCAGAACAAATAGCTGATCTCATCAACCTTATTTCCAGAGGCTAATGGGATACCTCTTCTCAGATGGCTCTTAAGCATCTTAGACTGAAGATGTTTCAAGTGAAACTCATTTTTCCACTAATACCTGCTTATTCTTCAGTTTCTCATTGGTAAATGGTATTGTAATTCACCTAGTCTATAAAGTTGTTAATATTGGAATTATTCCAAACTCATTTCTCTCTTTGATACTATTCCTGATGATTTTAGATATGTCCATCACAGTGACCTCTGCTCCCCTGCCTAACAGACTTAATACAGTCTAATCACTTCCTATTTCAGACTATCACCAGTTCTTTCACTAACAGTCCAACACTCCACACAGCAAGTGCCTCTTTCTATAAAACATATCTGAATGCACCCCTTTCTTGCTTTAAAATCTTCACTGGGGTTCTCTGGTCTGGAGATCAAGTCCACACTCTTAGCATGGCATATTGGGCTCTATAGAATCTGGCCTTATTGAAGTAGGTGCTTAATAAATCCATCTCACAGCCAAGAGACATCTTTCCAAAAACACCATCTTTCCAAACTATCATATGTAATGATAGTTTGATATCATTACACTGTAAGTTTAGAGCAGCTACAAAATGCTACTTGCCTTATATCTGAATTTCTCACTGGTTTCTTTCAGGCCCTCTGACTAATTCCTAACTCCAACTCTTGTCATCTTTCCCAGTACCCTATGTGGTCTTTGTAATTGTTCCTCACTCATACCCACCCACACCTACATCCACACCCACACTTCTTGTTTGTTCCTGTCTGAGTCTTCTCTTCGGCTGCACTCTATTCCTGGACTGATTCCCTGACCTGTTGCCCAGTCACACCCTTCTCTTTTAAATCACACCTCCTCCAACTAAGCCCACCTGGCTCTCATCTCATTGTTCTTCGCAGATTCCCCTGAGCACTTAGGTATTTAACTCCTGAGAAGTATACTAATTCATAGTGAAGGCATTTTCATGTTCTGTCTCGCCCATTAGAATTCCCTGTGGATAGATATTTTGTTTTGTTTGGTTGTCTTCAGAAGTGCTCTGCACCCCCCAGTGCCTAGTAGTATGTGGTCCCTAGTCTCCATCTAGCGTAGGAAGTGGGAGAGTTACAAGTATGCTTGAGTGCCTGAATGCTTTTAAAGAAACATTACCACATGGGCAATTCCAAAGACCCAAACAGAACTTTGATACAATTTAGGAATTGATATGCATTCATCCTCTCTCTGTCTCATCCCCACCACCAGAGGACATATCCTTCCAGATGTGAAGTCTCCATAAATATACCAGATCTGGAATCTTGTGAGCTTTCTTTAACTATTTTGAAACCCTGAGTTTAGCAATTTCATTAAAGATATTCAGGAAACCATGATATGGGGTAGCTATTCTCAACTACATCTGAATTTGTATTTACCAGGTCCAGGCTTTTCAGTTCACATCCAGACACCCCACCCATTCCCTGCTAAGTCACTAGAGGAGAGATAGAACATCCTCTAATGTTGATATTGAACATTGCTAATATTTCCTGAGAACACAGAGGGACTTTATTTGGGGCTATGCTCCATTGAAAACTGGATGTGCTTTCCACAGAAGAGTAAAGAGAGGTACCACTTACTCAGGGTTGTCCTGGTCACAAGCTTGAAGTGATGGAGCTCATCGAACATCCTCTTGGAGATCTTTTCAATATGGAAATGCTGGAGGATGCCTGGGCCAAGCAAAAAGTGGAGCAGGTGGTCAGGTGCTCTCTATCTGGAACCCATAGCCCCTTTTTCTGCTTGAGCTGAGCATATCATCTTATTACTGGGGCTTAGTAGTATTAAGCTGTGCTGTATAATGTGCTTAATCAGGAACTTGGATGGCTCAAGTGCTATAATTAACTCCATTTGTTTTCTTGGCTCACTGGCCTCCTCCTGGTTCTTCAGAGGATGGTGATAAGGGGAAATAGTGCTGCTGGCCATGGGAGCTCCTCCTAGGGAAAGCCACATAGAATCAAACATGGGTGCTGGTTGGAGCTTCTGCAGCCAGAGGCATTATTAGAAATTCTGTCCTTGCCCCAAGTCTGGGTAGACAATGTCCCTGCCAAACCACTGGTCAGTCCTCGTGGCTAAGCAGTGAAAGACAGCAGTGGGATTGCAAATAGGTTGTTTGTGTAAATGGAAAAGACATTCTTGTTCTTGAACTCACCAAAAAGCATATTTTCCTTTGAGGAACAGGCACATCTCCTTTAGATTTTTCTTATAAAAATAAGGAGGATCCATAGTCTCAAAATTTCCTCAATAGCTTTTATCAAAATAACATGTAAACAACTGAAAGTGCCATTGAAGTAAAGGAGCACCATGTTATCAGCCCACTTAACTAATCCTAAAGAGGTCTACAAGGAGCAATGTAAATGAAGCCTGGGTTTTTCTCTGCACACCATGCACACACCTGGATTACACAGCACTATAACAAGGTTATTTAGATGTTACATTAGCAAGTTGAAAAACACCCACACAGCTCTGTGGGGTGTGAGATGTTCCTTGATGAATAGTGTGCCTACTGCTAGGGAAATCAACAGAACAGTGCTTAGTCCTAGGTGGTCAGTTACAGAGGAGCTAGGGAGCTAGAGACTAAAAATCAACACTCCTAGGTATAGAGCAAAAAATAAATGTGGACAAGAAACATTTGTGCTCTAGCATATTTTTAAGGGGTAGGGAGGAGCTCTTTCAAGAACAAAAGGTGGTAATGCAAAGGGAGAGAAAAAGCCCCACAAGTACTAAGCGCAGTTATTTCTCCAAGTATGGTCCAAGTACCATCTGCGTTAAAATCACCTGGCTACTGGTTAAAAATTCAAAAGCCCAGAACTACACAATGCTACTGAAGTCACATTTCATGGGTAGGGGTAGGGAGTTGCATTTTAAACCACCTCCTTGCATGATGCTGAAACATACTAGAGTCTGAGCCTTATGCAGGTGCCAGTAGAAGAAAGCATGTGCATGATTTTCTAATTGATTTCACCCCTACACTTGGATTCCTAGAAAACTTGACCAGACTAGACCAGTACTTGTCTTTTATGTATGGAATGGTTTGAATAGCTGTAGGATTATAGTGAGCAACAATGTGGCTTTCTATAGTAATGTGAATAATCAAAAAGGAATTGGATAGCATGACTGGCATTGTTCTTACATTAAGACAATAGTCTTGAGGGTAGGGATGATGTTTTAAGTTTGTTTTACCCCAGAGTATATAGCATGATTCAAGAAACTTTGCTTCCTACCAAATGAATAGATTTTCATGCTTGTGGAGCTTTGTGTTGAAAAGAATGGTAAACTACAGTTTAATAGTCTGCAATCCTGACCACACACTAGAATCACCTGTGGAGCTTTAAAAAAACACCTACGCCCAGGCCCCACTCCAAATCAATTAGTCAGAATCTCCGGGGGTAGGCCCAGACATTTGGTATTTAAAAAAAATGTCCCAGATGATTCTGATGGCAGCCAGGGTTGAGAACCACTCCTCTAGCCTTGGTTATGTAAGAAAGACAACAAACCCCAAGGGTCAATGCTTACTTTTTAGCTCAAGCTAAGCTTAAATTTAAAGGCCATAATAACAACTGTATTAGTCATGTGTTAGCTTCTAAGCAATCAGGACATATTCTGACCCAAACAGAGAAACAAGTTGAACCAAAATTAGGGTGAGTTCTTCCCTCCTTACCTGTGTCCCTTTTACAAAAAAACAAACAAAAATTAATTGTTTTGCTCACCTTTTCGAATGGTCCAAACATGGACCTCGACCTGAGGTGGTCTCTCTGTCTCCAGTGCTATTTTTCTGGTAGTCTCCCCATCCTCCATGAACACAGATTCATATATGGGCATTGATTCTTCTCCACAAAAGTAGCCTTTGCTGTCAAAGCTTTGGCCTGGAAGTTCTAGAATCAGGAAGCAGGTAGAGTTTTGTCACTGTTTTCCAAAATTAGAAGCAAACTTCTGGATTTATGCATCTCATTGTTTGTAACACCACATACTCATCAAAAGTAAACAATCAACAAAAATATTATTACAGAGAAGTTACACCCATATTTCACTGTGTCAGCTTAGGCTGCCCCTATAACAGCCACCAAATCACAAAGGAGCACATGACCTTTAACGTAAGTCCACATGATGACAATCCGTAGTTCTGCAAAACACTGGCCCACAAACTAAAGTGGATCCACCAATCACCCCAGAAGAAGTGGACCTCTATGAGGAGAAAGAATGTGGCTAGGTACAAATCTCTTAGGCAATTAAGGGAACATGGGATTTTTCATGCTGGGTCAGGATTATGGTCTGTCCAGCTCAGTGTTACCAACAGAGACACAGGGAATAGTCTGAAAGAGGGCCTCAGTTACTTTCACTAACATCACTTACACTTAGAAAACATCTATAACATTCATTTATGTGTATATACTTGCACAAATAATCTATCCAAGTTGGCTTGACATTTCTGAATGCTTTTTGATTTGTTTGTAAGGGGAATGATAGTACCAAATCAACATCACTGCCAAAAACTAGATATCAGATTAGTCATATAGCATGCTATGCCAAAGAGTGGTTGGGAGACACAAAAATATTGGTCAACTCCCTCAACTATGGATCACTTAAAGTACAAACTAAACTTGGATTTCAGCTTCCAAGCATAAAGGTACCACCTCCTGATATTCATCTTTTCACTCCACCCTCCTCATTCTTCAGCCCCCTACCAAGAAAAGTTTCTCTTGTTTGGTTATTTGTGAGTTAGTTATTTTGCTGGCCCCTCAGTGCTCTCCTCATTGCCCTTTCTAGCTGTGTATTTAAAATGTACACTCAAACCCAGAAGAGCAAAGAGAAGCCATGGACACTCTGAAAATTTTGAATAAGTACAGAAATCATTTGTAAAAGTATCTGATACAAGTGTTGAATGTTGAGTACTTTGGATCTGTGACTCTAATTAGGAAGATGACTGTTAGCCATTAGGACACATTTGGACTAGAGGTTGTAATCAAATTGCTATTGCATGTCTCTTACTGACCTGGTTATCTTTCCCACTCCCACCACCATATTGGCACAGTGAGGACAAAACTAAATCTCTTGATGATTCCAGGTTGGATTACTCAATTTGTAGATTATCCTACATCAATATTCCTTTCTTCTTTAGACCTTCCTTTTAGTTACTCAATTACTTGGTAGGCCATTCTAAAAAAGGTGATATATTAGGTATTTAAGGGGTGTGCTAGCATGTTCAAGTGGGTGAAGGGGAAGGAGATCACTAAATGCACAGGGACTTCTATGTATATAATTATCACCTTTAGAGTGAGGGCTGAGTTCATTTGCTAAATTTTGCTCACCTGCTTAATACTGACTATGGCTATAACTACCATATGAAATCCATGATGGTACTGGAAGTACGTATAATATGCTAAAAATTCTCCCAGTGTCCTGAAGAGTAATCTATACAAAACCTCCTTCCCCTCCAAGAGCTTAATTCATTCACTGGAAGGAATCTATAAACAACAAAATCCATTACTGATCCAACACTGGCTGGCGCTTGAAAATGTTAAGTGTAAACCAGGGGTGTCAAACTCATTTTCACTGGTGGCCACATCAGCCTCGAGGTTGCCTTCAAAGGGCCAAAATAATTTTAGGACTGTGTAAATGTAACCACTCCTTAACTGTTGAGGAGTTGAAATTACATTCAGCCCTTTGAAGGCAACCATGAGGCTGTTGTGGCCCCTGGTGAAAATGACTTTGACACTCCTGGTGTAAACAGTGTCTCTTGAACTGCTTACTTGGGAATATCCTCCTCATTAAACCTCCAACTGAAGGTGCTTTCTGATCACTCCATGTTCACTTACTTTCATTTCCTTTCAGGGAAGTATGCCATGTGTGAAGTCATTTCTGGCCATTCCCACTTTCCAGTGGCAATGCTCCTGTCCTGAGCCCTCCAAAACTATGAAATTAAGAAACCTTTTCCTTACGGAAGTGGTGATGACTGATGAGGATGTTTTAGCAAAGCCCAGAAAAGTTTTGTCTTAACAGGGGCTTTTTATGCTGTAATCCCAAAGGAGGTATAATTATGGGAATTTCTGGTATTAGAGTAGAATAGTGGGGTGAGAGGAAAGTTGGGGAATCTTCATTCAGGAAGTGGAAATCCCACACAACCCTGTAGGTGGCCACTTATATGTCAGGCAAGGCAGCCTCTACCAGACCAAAGGAAAGAGAAAGGTGAAATTCACATCTGTTATTGTGGCCCTAGTTTGTTATTGAAGGAGCCTGGAATCATTTGTTATAATGAATCTTTTGGCTGTATCATCAGCAAATTCTGTCTCTTTTCCCTTCTCAACATGAAAAACTGAATTTACTGTTCTTTTTTCCTGATCAATCATTTTCCTCCACAATCCTTTGTTCCTTTTCCTCTGTCATGTGTTATTTTCTAAGAAGCTGGTGATGTCATGATCTTACCATTTCTCACCCCTTCACATCATTAGGACCCTACTCAATATCAGTTCTTCAGAGAAGCCTTCCCTGACAACTCTTTTGAAAATGCCACCCCTCCCTATTCACAATCACCTGGTTGTATTTATTTTTCCTTCACAGTATTCATCACAATGTAAAATTACCTATTGGTTTGTGTTCATTGTCTTTTTTCTCCCACTAGAATGTAAGGTAACCTGTTGTCTGTCTTGTTCATCTCTGTATTCTCAGTGCCTACAACAATGTCTTGCACACAGTAGGCACATAATGTGTATTTCCAGATTGAATGCATGAACAAGTTCATGCCCCTTGATGCACTGAAGTTGCTGAGTACCTGCAGCTGGTGCTCTGGCCTCTGGGTAGTAACTATTGTTAGGCAAATTGACTATCAGGAGTCATTCAATATGCAGACACCAATGTCTGGTTCACTGAGAGACAGTTACACAGAAAGGAACAGAAACTCTCTCCTTCCATGTTGCTCAATCTCCACACACCTGAGTGGGAAAGCAGCTTTTTCAGAGAAACATGTTTAGTCAATCAGACTCTTCAATACATTGTCAATTGGAACTTTGAAGATAAGTTATGAAAATAATACACTTTATTATTTTTCTAATTACAAAAATAATACACATTGATAATTTTGAAAATACAGGTAGACAAAAATAAGAAAATAAAATTACCCATAATTCAATCACCTAAATATAGCCACTGTTAACATTCTCCATATACCTTTCCAGTCTTCCTTTTTTTTTTTGTCTAAGTGTATTATGAACACTTTATTTTTTAACATACTGTGGGGTAAGTGGAGGCAGTCTTGCTTCCTCACCAAGGTATCTGGGTAACTAAGAGAAGCAGTGTCCCATTGCCTTGAAGGCACATGATAAGTAGTGTTATCATAGCCTTGAGACTGGGTCCAATAAACTGTTCCCATAACATGAAGAGGGCTTGCATGCACAGAATTATATTATGTTATATAATTTTCTGGCATTTTTCCAGCTTTGTTTGCCTCTAGTACTTAAGCAGGTAGGCACTCCCTGCTGGGGGCGAGGATGGGTGCCACACTGGGGAGCAAGGGCCACAATGTTTGCTACACAGAGACATGCAGGGGGATGCACAGCTTTCAGCATGCATGGCCTGCCCACCCGTGAATAAACGCATACAAGACATCCCAATGGCTCCATGAATATTTTCTGTCTGCATGATACCATGAACCTTCCAGGCCTTGAAGCTCACAACACACACACTAAGTGGGATCATATATACATATTGTTTTGTATATGCCAGGGTCTTCATACTTAGCAAATACATTGCAAACATCTTTCTGTGCCATTAAATCTTGATCTACAATAATTTTTAATGGCTGTGTACTGTGCCACAGTACAGTAAGTTCCTCATAGCTTCCCTGTAGTTTTTTTTTTTTAGTAATCCTCATTGAGCTTCCTTATAACCATTGTTTTGAACTCAATATCTGATAGTTGACTTGCCTCTACTTCATTTAGCACTCTTTCTGAGGATTCCTCCTTTCCTATTGATTGGGGGTGGTTTCTTTGTCTTCCCATTATTTGTGAAACTTCTTGTTTTCTTCTGCTCCTTAAATTGATCTGTTTTGACTCCCTGACTTTGTGGTGTGATCTTCTATGGTAGTAGATCTGTGAGATTCAGTGGTGTAGTCTCCTTGAGCTTCTGAACTTGATGATCTCAGGATGCCTTTTATATAGTTTATGTTAGATCTCTGTATGTAATTGGGTTTTGATTGTTGTTGGGTTGTTCTTTGGTGGGTCCTTCCCTCCAGCTGGTTGACTGAGAGTCACTCTATTCACCATGTCTTGTATGCTATTGTGCAGGTGCTGCCAGAACTAAACCACAAAGCCCAGGAAAAAGACCCACACCCACAAAAATACCCCACCACAATCCTACTATCAACAACAAATAAACCCGTATTAATAAGGGTATAAAGACATTACGACTATTATAAGAAAGGACAGCAAATATGACATGACCTACTTAAATTATTTTGAGAGGGTAGAGGGAGGAGTACTAATAAGAGTTGGGAGTTGGAGCAATATGAAGAGAGGAAGTAAAATTTACATCATGAATAAAAAAGGGAATGAAGAAGGCAGAATACGCACAAACTTGATGGACAAGAAATGAATGTTAAAAAACTATGCAAGTCTCTCTGGTTGGTGTGGCTCAGTGTACTGAGCACTGGTCTTCAAACCAAGGGGTCACCAGTTTGATTCTCAGTCTAGGGCACATGACTGGGTTGCAGGCCAGGTCCCCAACAGGGGGCACACGAGAGGCAACTATACATTGATGTTTCTTTCCCTCTCTCCCTCCCTTCCCCGCTCTCTAAAAATAAATAAAATCTTTTTAAAAAGCTATACAGGAAAGAAAATATCATAAATAATGGAGAACACCACAGCACATTTCATCTCGGAAGCCTCTGGTATTTACCACTGTTTTTTCTTTCTGGATCCACCTATGCTGATGTCAGATGTTAACCCCGTCTGGCCTTAAGCTGTCTGTCTGAGACTTCCAGGGATCTACTGTCTGTGGCTGTCTCCTCCAGTTGTTCATCTAGTCACTCTGCACTCAGCAGTCAGGCTTAAGCACCATAGGGTGGAGCAGAATCCCTCCTGGTGTTGGGGCTATTGTTTTCCCTCAAGCTGCTGCTGCTTGCAGGGAGAGGTCTACCTGAGCAGGATAGCTGCTGCCATAAGGGGGATGACTCAGAACCAGGATCCAAGCATCTTCTCTCTCAGTTCTCTCCCCAAAGCTTCCATCCCCAGTCTCACCTCAGGCATCTGTAGCCCACTCTGCCTGCCCCGTTTGCTGGAGCCCAGGGTAAGTGGCTACAAGTGAAAATTTGTGCATTGGCCCTTTAAGTGGCTCTTTGCATCTCCAGCCATCTGTCTCTGGCAGAGGGCAACCCTACTGCTTTTTGCTGCTAGTTGTTATCTGTGTACTTTTGTGGCTCTGGTGCTCTAGGCTGGGGATCACAGCTTAGGGTTTAGACCCCATTCTTCCCAGGGGCATCCAACTGGTTGCTTAGTTATCCCTCTGGCACTGCCCCCATGTGTGCCCAGCCAGCATTCTTGAGTCCCCACCACACTCCCTACCATCATGTTGTGCTGAAGCTGATTCTTCTGTCTCTCTGAGGTTATATGTCTTATCTCTTGCTATTGTTCAGTTGTTCTGGGTGATTTCTCCACAACTTAGTTGTAATTCCTGCTTGGTCCTGGGAGGAGGTTAGTGTGACTTCAATTCATTCCTCTGCCATCTAACTCTCCTTCCTCACAGTACAGATATAACTATTTAACCATCCCCATATGGGTAGACTTTCAAATTATTTATAATTTTTCAATATTGTAAACAGCACTGCAGAAAAAAATCATTATTTGTATATCTGTATATGTCTCATTACTTTTTAAGATTTGTAGGAGTGAAGTTGCTCAGTCAAATAGTATGGAAAGTGAAGTTTTTAATAAATATTACTGATCTGAGAGGCCAATTGTTTAAAAGGCAATGCCCATTCTGTGTCCTGTTCTCACACCTTTTTGATTCGTGAACTTTAAATCACCTGCATCAATAAAATCCTAAGCACACAATGAAATAGTATTTGGTTTTGCAGTAGTTTAGGTAGCTATTAGTTTAATAAGAAATTATCTTGTTGTTTTACTTATATGACTGTAGGCATTAGACCCTTGACCAAAGAGAAAATTGTGTTTGTGGAATTAACCTGATATTAGGAGGTTTGAGGATCCAGTGAGATCACAGATTTGGAAGTCATAATAGGCCATTGTGGCTGGGTGGACTCATGTCCATATCAATAACAGAATGTATTTCCTCCCTAACCCTGATGAGTACATTGCCTCACCAATTTTAATGGCCCAATTCTCTACTCCAGATCAGATAGCTCCTGTCCTTCCTAGTCACACCCTGTCACTGTTTATTCTGGTAGATAAGGGGCACTAAATTAAGAAAGATTTTGTTTGTGCCACTAATAAATGTTTTTAAACTTTAGTGTGCAAAGGAATCAACTGAGGAGTCTTTTTACTGTGCAGATTCTGATGCAGCAGGTCTGGGGTAGAACCTCAGAGTCTGCATTTCTAACTACCTTTGAGGTGTTGCTGGTCCACAAATCATGTTTTGAGAAGCAAGACCATAAACCACCCTGGAGCTACCTATATCAGGGGTCCCTGAACTTGCCTGAAAATTAGTATCATCTGGGGATCTTTTAAAAATTCCAAAGTGCAGGCCACACCTCATGCCTATTAAATCATGATCTCTGAAGGGTGGGACACAGTTCTTTTTAGAAGCTCTCAGCAGGATTCCAAAGTGTAGACAAACTTGAGAACCACTGGCTTACATGAAGATCCTTAAAAATTATACATTGAGCCCTGACTGGTGTGGCTCAATTAGTTAGGTGTCATCTTGCAAGGCCAAGGGTCACTGGTTTAATTCCTAGTCTGGGCACATGCCTAGGTTGCAGGTTTGGCCCCCTGTTGTGTGCATATATATGAGAGGCAACCAATAGATATTTCTCTCACATCGATATTTGTCTCCCTCTCTTTCTCCCTCCCTTCTCCTGTCTCTAAAAATAAGGAAAAATATTTTTAAAAGAGAAAAAACACATATTGAATAAAGTTATTGTTGCCTGCTACTCATGAGGAATTGCCTAAATTGAAGGAATAAATAATTTAGCTCTCTGTGTACATTTCAAAATGTTTGTTTTTTCAACTATGTTTACAAAAATGCTTTGCATTTGGCATAATAAATGATAAATTCTTGTCCTTGGAAGTAATTAATTCATTCACTCTTAGAATGTTGAAGCTAGAGGGACCCTAATAAATAGTCTATTCTAACCCTCTCATTTTGCAGAGAAGAAAACTGAGGCTCATGGAGGTGGAGTGACTTGTTCTAGATCACACAGGAAACCAGTAGCAGAATCAGGGCTAGAATACTTGATTACCAATCCTATACTCTGTCAACCCCAATACTATAAACTATAATTTTATCTATACCATGTATTAAAACCACTATTAAAGAATTAATTTGTCATTTGTTATCAGTTTATATTTCCAGGCCTATAAAACTGGCCTGGAATTATAGGCCTTGGTTTTATTATCTATTTATGTGCCTTGGTAAGTCACTACTTATACACCCCTGTTTTCTTATCTATAACAGATAAATAATAATGTCATGATAGGATTTTGGTCTTGGAAGGGGGCTTGGAGGTCAACTGTTCCAAACTTTTCATTGTACAGATGAGGGTGATGATGCCCAGAGCAGATCTGGAACATTTCCAAAGTCACACAGCAACTTAAATTAGGACCGGAACCCACTCTCCTTCCACGATACCTCACTTGTCTCTCATCTTATCTCAAAAAGGTATTTGGATGTCATTGTGCTTTGATGAGGTAAATAGTAATGTAAATGAAAGCTACTACTGTTATTCCTAATCATTATCATAACCTAATTTCTCTATTTTTTAAATTTATGTTCATTGTATTTTTTCCATTACCATATAGTCCCCCTTATACCCCTTCCTCCCAGCAATCACCACACTGTTCTCCATGTTCATGAGTCCTTTTTTATTTTTGCTCAATACCTCTACTACAAACCCTCCCCTCCAGCTGTCATCCTGCTCTTCATCTGTGAGTCTATGCTCATTTTGCTTATTGATGCAGATTTTTTATTAGATTCCACATATGAGTGAAATCATATGCTATTTGTCTTTCTCTGACTGGCCTATTTCACTCAGCATAATATTTTCCAGGACCATCCATGCTGTCACAAAAAGGTAAAAATTTCTTCTTTTTTATGGTTGAGTAGTATTCCATTGTATAAATATCCCATCTGATAAGGGGTTAATATCCAAAATTTATAAAGAAATTATAAAACTGAGCACAAAAAAATCCAATTAAAAAGTGGGCAGAGGATCTGAATAGGTACTTCTCCTAAGAGGACATACAGATGGCCAATAGACATATGAAAAGATGCTAAATGTCACTAATAATGAGAAAAATGCAAATTAAAACCACAATGAGATATCACTTCACACTTGTCAGAATGGCTACCATCAATAAATCAACAAACAACAAGTACTGGCAAGGATGTGGAGAAAGGGGAACCTTTTTACACTTTCTACTATTTATAAAACCAAGACTTAAGTTTGGCATTTAGGGCTACATGGTGTCAAAGGCATGGTTGACAAAAAAAAAATCCACAGTGTAATTCTTAGTAGTCCATTTCTTCCAAAGAGGATAGAATGAAGTTCATTATTAGTAGAACTGTTACCATTACAGTGATGTGGCATATTTATTACATTTCTGATGTTCACAGAACATTGAGAATGACTATGTGGGGATCTCAGTCAACCAAAGGCAGGGCTTACAACCAACACACCTTTTGCCTTTTTACCTGGACACACCTTGCAGCACTTTCCATCTATTTTTTGAGGGTACTTGCAGGGGTATTGGTTGGGGCAGTGGATTTTCTTACATTCTTGTTTGGTGACATTACAAGTACACAGTACACACTCCACAATACCAAAAGCCCGGAGGTTAGGGTGCCAGGATTCGCCATGAGAATAAGTCTTTCCATTGGAAACACACACTGAAAGAGAACACAATACCAGAAAATAAAGGCTAGGGAGCAAAAATGGGCCCCTGTGCTCAGAATCCAAACCATGAACTCCTTAAGACATCAAGCATCCTTTGTTCTTTACATGGCCATAGAGACACATTTACAGGGCAGCCTCTTCTTTTTTGGGGCAGAATTAGGACGTGGGGATTTCATTTTTTAAGTTATACTTTATCAATTATGCTATTACACTTCTGATTTTTCCACTTTTGCTCCCCTCTACCCAATACCCCTCACTCCCTCAGGCAATCCCCTTACCATTGTTCATGTCCATGGGTCAAGCCTCTTCTAACTAAAAATACAGCATGTGTCTTTTCTACTATTGGCAAGTATTCAGGTTCTTCAGCAGTAGCCTCTGGATGCTCACAAGTGCGAGGCAGTCAATAAATAAATATTTTTTAAAGTTCAGGAGTGAGTGAAAGCAAAGTTGTACCTGTCCTGGGTATCTGATAAGGAAGCGCTAGTGGAATGTAGTTTGAATAGCTATAGTTCATACAGGATATGGACCAAGTAGATGTTCTTCTTGGCATGAAAATTTCCCAGAGAGATTTACCACCCAGGGAGGCTAGATGCAAAAACTACTAATCTTCCCAAAGGGCCAATTTTTTTCCCAGATCCTGAAGCAAATCCATTCAGAATATCAAAAGCTTTGAAAGTTTCATCCACGAACACAGATGGGTATGGAGCTTAATGGTGCTGGCCTGGGAAGAAAGGTGCTAAGACAAGATTGAGGAAGAACCACAGGTAAGTGGTGAAAGGTAGTCTTTTTTTTTGCCTCTAATCTTCAGGGAGCATCCTGTGTCCCCCCACCTTATAGTAGCTACAAAAATTTGGCTGAAGTCAATCACTGCCTGTCCTAGAGATATCCTTTGGTGGTTTCACATTTGTTTAGTGGGAAGTGAAAGTCAATGACTCCATGTTTTCTGAGGAGCCTTACAAGATCAAGCATCTGGGCTGCAAGCTGAGGGGCCTATGAAGGGAAGGGGTCACAGGAACATCCTTTAATGCAATCCAACCAAAACATATCCAGCTCCTACAGTAAGGCATGGATCTAGGATTCAGGATGAGAACTGCATAGGGCTATAAATAGGAAGGTCTGAGAATGAGTTGTCTCCCATTTTGAAAGTGCTGACACATTTTGGAGATTTCAAGCCATAACTGGGGCTGGGTGTGTTTCTTATTCTTACCATCACATCATCATACCCAGGGAGACCTGTCGGCATCCCAATCAACAACATCTCCAGGGTGGGTTGTATCACTTAAGGTGGGGCTAGGGTGGGAGAAATAGCCCCACTTGGGGCGTTTCTAGGAATTAACTGATTTGGCTGTAAGACAGTGGCCTCAAAAGGATGAATCATTGGGCTATTTCTTTCTCATCAAGTCCACTGGGTCACATTAAGAAATATGGATGTATTGGCTGACTTTTCCTGTACTTTGCAAGAGCTGCTAGAATACTAGACACTCTAATAGGTCAATCTGTGTAAAGATTTCCAAGTACCTAAGAATCTAAATCAGAGAAACTCCCAACCTTATAGAAAGAGAGAATAGGGACTTGATGTCTAAACTGTGAGGCTCAGGGATGTGGATGAAATCACATGACAAGACAGAAAAGATGTGTTGTTCTCTCTCCTGCCCTGACCTCTTTTCTCTCCCCCTCAGACAGTGACACTCCCTTCTAGACAATGCAATCAAGTGGGTACATTGTCTGCTTCAAGAAAATTTAGACTGGACTCAAGTTCAGAATGGTAGAGTCCTGTTGCTTCTCCTCTTTGACTCTACCAAGGGACCCAGTACATTGTATCTGAGAAGAGAATACAGTTAGCAGGAGAGCTAAAAAAGAAAAAGAGGTGCTGGCAGCTATACAACTCCCAATGTTATATAGCTAGGATACCTCTCCCCTAAACATTTGGACTAAAGAAACAATCTAGACTGGATGAGAGCCTACACTCTGAAGTTCAATAGGGTGAAGTTAATTCTCTCAAGGGAAATGCAGCCTTCTTCCCACCAACAAATTCTCAAGATGATTTTAAATGCATGATATGCAGCATTGCAAGTTGGGAGTGGGGACAAGTGATTATCTAGTGAACTACAGTAGAAAGGTTAGGAAAGAACTGCTTTGACCAAATCAGTTGGGGGCAATGAATAAATGTGAACCAGCTGGGGCTTTTGTAGGACATGGAGAAAATCAAGGGATGAGCCTCTGCCCTGAAAGTGAAGAGGCCTGTAGGAATTATGGGATTTAGAATTTTCAAAGTCCATTTCCCCACACATTTTTCAAGGCTTCGAAATATTTTCAGAGCAAATGGGATCTACTGGAGGCAATTTAGTATTGAAAATCAAACTGCATCTTTACCTTACTCCTCCTCATCATCATTTCATAAATTCGTATCAGAATGCCTTGAAATTTACAACTATTAAATTTCAAATCAAACCCTGATTGATAGTAAATATTTCCAATTCATCTTATATATCACCATTTTAATTGAGATTTTTATTTTAAAGGTTCTTTTTAAGCCTATTAGCTTCAAAAATAATTTAATTTTTTTCTGTAATATGAAATTTATATCTAACTAGTAACAGATGTGATCAACTAGCTTTGGCTTGACTAGCTTTGTTGAGATTTATAGTAGGAGTTCTTTGTAACAGATTGTTTTTCAACCCCTGTTATTAAATCATTTGATTTAATAATTTATTACTTTTAACACATTTAGAGAACTGCCTTTGATTTGTTCTTCCTTTAAAGGAAACAAAACATGTTTATGGTTTCATAAAAAGGAACTGGCTGAGCTCTTGCTCTGAAGAGCTGGTTGACACAATGACTAAAAAGGTCAATTGTTTTATTGAATTTCCCCTCTCCCCACTTCCACTACTGGGGATGTGCAAGCAGGAGAACTCTGTGCAGGAAGGAATGGGCTTTGGTTGTGGGGCCTGTGAAATGTATCTTTTACAAGACTCCCAGGAGACTCTGTGGTGCATGGAGGTGAGAGACTTGTTATTTCTAAGCTATGGATAAGAGCTCCAAAAGCATTTGGCACTGAGTACCTTTGAATATTGGGTCTCCTACTGGAAAAGGAACAACCTCTCATTCTTGTAAAGATCCAATGAACTTTCCCAAACAAAATTCAACCCCCAGGGGCCACTGAGAAAATGCTGGAGGCTGCATTAGGTGCATTTCTTACCTTTTGCTCTAAATAAGAACAGATACACCTGAAATATTAGATACGTTCTTTGAACTGTATTTAGGGAAATCCTAAGTGTTCTATGGAGTCACTTGTACAGACTCAATTTGTAGACTTGATAGTGAGTGACCCACATGTAAATGTATTATATGCATGAGAGAAAGGGTCCTTTCCCAGCTTGAGCCCTCCAAACACCAGGGCTGCTGCTGCCCTGATGTAGATGTGGTAAAAAAGGAACATGACCCTTACCTTGTCCATGTTTATGTTTGTTATTGATGACAATCTGCACAATGGTGCCTGAGGCTTGCTGGGAATCCATAAGAGATCCCCGGTGACTTCTGGTCCCAGGAAAGCGGGGAAGACCTGCAGTCTGTCGGATTGGCAGAGGATCATCGTGAGAGCGGTGGTAGGAATGTCTCTAAAATGACAAAGACAAATTCGGTTGCCCAAGTCCACCAGTGAAAATGCAGAAATGGCCTTGCATACATTAGAAGGCATTTAATTTTTTAGTGACGACATCTGATCTAAACTGCACATCCACCCACACCAATAGAGAAATAGGGATGTAAAGTAAAGCAGCACTGGCAACATACTGAGATGTTTCCCTCTTTTTATAGAAGACTGGACTAGATTCACCTACAAACTTCTAAGGGAACAAAGAGCCAGAAAGGGTAAAGTGTCCTTCCTGCTCCTAGGACTCTCACATGTGAGTTTAAGAGTTAAGGTAGCAGTCTGCAACACAAGACAGGATATGACAGAAGCCACGAGATAAATATAAAATACTGTGCAGGTTAGAATAAGAAAGAAAGCTTCTCTTTGGGGATGCTTTGTGAGCTAGGCCATGAAGGGTAAATAGACTTTTGGGGGGCATAGTGGGTGAGGAGTATTCCAGGCAGAGGTTTCCAAGTTGAGAAGGTGCAGCACAGAAAATAGAGTCCATAAAAGGTAACAGTTGAAGGATAATATTCCAAAAGTTGGTTGGCACCAGATCAGGAAGGACTTTAAATGACTAAGGGGTGAGGACTTGGTGCACAACAGAGCTGAGAATGTGGAAGCCTCTGAGGGATGTTTCTAAAGCAGAGTGATAATCAAAACTGTGATTCCAAGCATTGAACCTTGAGAATGCATTGGGTGAACTGGATAGGAGGAAGAGATGGAGTCAAGTACAGTTCAGATAAATGCACTGAGATTCAACATAGGTAATGGCATGAGATCATACATCAGTGCACAGAGACTGTAGACATTTCATAGATACAAAACTGACAGCACATGCCAGTACTAGAATTCAGCTCTGCAGAGGTGAGGACTTTGTTTTGTTCACTGCTGTATCTCCTGTGCCTAAAATAGTGTCTAGCATCTAGAAGGTGCTTAGAAAAAACTTGTTGAATTAATGAAATCTGTGGTCCCTAATAAAAGCTTAGAGTCTTGTATCACAAATAATCCAGTCATTGTTGTTTCAGCAAGGGGTAAAGGCACATGATGAGCCCACTATTCTGCTACTGACCTCTGTTCCTGGAGCTGAGGTAGAGTGAGGACAGAGGAGGACAGAATAAATGAAGAACAGAACTTAAGGTTTAAAGTCAAGTAACATTGTGTTTTAGAGACAAGTATTAGGGGTAAAGGAGGGAAGACCCATGTAAAAATTATTTGCAGGCAATTGAAAAAGATCCTTATATTTAGTGATAGAAATGGCAGGGAACATTGAGAAGATAGTTATGGGGTCCAGTAAGTCCAACATAAAATATTTAATACACTTATGTTCCACAGACATGCATATTGCAAATTTAACTTTGGGAATTATTATTACTCTTTTGGGGTGGGCTCTAGTGTAAGAAGAGGGGAAGCTGACGGGAGCTGGAGTAAGAGAAAGAGAACATTATTCCCTTATGTAAGAAGATCCCACGCTGGTACATTGCTATAAAAATGCACAAAAATAAGAATTTGCATCCATTTATTATCATGCACACAGACAACACTCTCATTGCAAATATTTTTCATACCCAGTATAGCTCATATGTCTTTTTATAACATAATCACTCACATTTCACAAAGACCATTACAGATTGTTCTGTCTTTTTGGGAGTTTGGCATCATTTTGCCAAAGAAACACAGAGAGATCCATTTGGACTGTGTGTGTCCTACTGATGCTAAAAGGGGGGAGTTTGACAGGACTAAAATTTGAGAGGGAAGGTTGCTGACCCAGGATAATCTGCAAACACAGGAAGTTCTCTGTTCATGTAGGTGAGTGCAAGATGAAAAACTGCTCTTTGGTGCCAGGAACTCAGACCCTGGACATATGATAAGGGTAGAAAAGTGATTCAAGACAAAACAAAAGTCAAAACACTCAAGAATTTTGTTCAGAGACCTGGAATCCCCCAGAACCTCATCTCATGTTAAGTCTTTTGTTTTACAGACAGAGAAACTGAGGAGAGGGGTTTTATTCAGGGTGACAATGAAGATTGAGGTTTTGTAGCTGGCAGAAATAAGTGGAAGTAAGTACCTGGTAGTGAGAGGAAACAGAGAGGAAGAAATAAACGAGGGGGAAGAGGAGGAGAGGGTAGGAGTGATGATGCCTGGTCAAGCTAGGTGGTCCACAAATATTTGGCTAAAAGCTGCTGTGAAGAAAAGGTCTTTTTAATATGGAAGTCTGCTACACTGTTCATAAACACATGTCAACGGTTTCCACTTTGGCTGCACACAGAATCACCTGGGGAAATGTAAAAACATTTCTGCCTGAGTCCCATTCCCAGGGAGTTGATGGAATTGATTGGGGGTAAGATCTGGGCATCAGGACTTTTATATACCCTTAGGGGACTCTAAGGCCAAGGCTGAAAATCACAGACATAAAAAATCTTCTGTTTTAGGCCGGTATTGGGAGTGGTAATGTATGATTTTGATTAGAAGTAATGAGACTTCTGGCCAAGATGGAGGCATAGGTAGATATACTTTGCCTGCTCACACAACCAAAACAGGGACAGCAACAAATTTAAAAACAAAATGCAACCAGAACTGCCAGAAAATCGAACTGTATAGAAGTCTGACAACTAAGGAATTAAAGAAGAAACATTCATCCAGGCCGGTAGGAAGGGTGGAGATGTGCATCCAGGGTAGAGAGAACTTGCAACAAGGCAGTGGCTGGAGGACCATGTGGTCCCACATTTACATGCAGATAAACTGGGAGTAACGACGGGGTGGGTGGCGAGAGAGATGGCACAACCCAGGGTTCCAGAGTAGGTAAGTAAAGCCTCAAAAACTGACTGGAAAAACTTGTGAAGGTTGAGGCAGCAGGAGAAACTCCAAGCCTTACAGGAGAGTTCATTGGAGAGAACCACAGAGTCTTAGAATGTACACAAACCCACCCACCCAGGAATTAGCACCAGAAGGGCCCAATTTGCTTGTGGGTAGCAGAGGAAGTGACTGAAAGCCAGCAGAGAGCTGAGCAAGTGGCATCGGTCCCTCTTGGACCCTCCCCAACATATAGCACCACAACGCAGCTATATGGGTTGCCCTGCCCTGATGAGTACCTAAGGCTCCATTCCTTTACCATGTAACAGGCATGGACACAAAAAATATGGCTCAAATGAAAGAATAGGTCAAAGCTCCACAAAAAAATACAGCTAAGTGATGAAGAGATAGCCAACCTATCAGATGCACAGTTCATAACACTGGTAATTGGGATGCTCACAGAAATGGTTGAGTATGGTTGCAAAATAGAGTAAGTAGTGAAGGCTATAAAAAGTGAAATAAAGTAAAATGTATAGGGAACCAACAGTGAATAGAAGGAAACTGGGACTCATATCAACAGTTTAGAGCAGAAGGAAGAAATAAACAACATCCAACCAGAACAGAATGAAGAAATAAGAATTCAAAAGAGTGAGGAGAGGTCTAGGAACCTCTGGGACAACTTTTAATGTTCCAGTATCCAAATCATAGGGGTGCCAGAGGAGAAGAGGAAAAGCAAGAAATTAAAAACTTATTTGGAAACATAATGAAGGAGAAATTCCCCAATTTGGCAAAGGAAATAGACTTTCAGGAAGTCCAGGAAGCTCAGAGAGTCCCAAAGAAGTTGGACCCAAGGAGGAACACACCAAGGCACATCATAATTACATTACCCAAGATTAAAATTAAGAGAATCCTAGAAGCAGCAAGAGATAAGGGGGAAGTTACCTACAAAGGAGTTCCCATCAGACTGTCAGCTGATTTCTCAAGAGACCTTACAGGCAAGAAGGGGCTGGAAAGAAGTATTCCAAGTCATTAAAGACAAGGACTACATCCAAGATTGCTCTATCCAGCAAAGCTTTCATTTAGCATTAATAAATAAAGTGCTGATAAAGTGTTTCTCAGATAAGGCCAAGTTAAAGGAGTTCATCATCACCAAGCCCTTATTTTATGAAATGTTAAAGGGACTTATCTAAGAAAAGAAGATTGGAAAAAAAAAACATGTATAGTAAAAGGACAGCAAACTCACAATTATTAACAACCACACCTAAAGCAAAACCAAAAGAAACTAAGCAAACACCTAGAACAGGAACAGAACCACAGAAATGGAGATCACATGGAGGGTTAGCAACAGGGGAGTGGGAGGAGGAGAGAGGGGAAAAGGTATGGAGAATAAGTAGCATAGATGGTAGGTAGAAAATAGACAGGGGGAGGGCAAGAATAGTATGGGAAATGTAGAAGCTAAAGAACTTATGACATATGGATATGAACTAAAGAGGGGGAATGTGGGTGAGAGAGGGTGTACTGGGTGGAGGGGAATGAAGGGAGGGGTAATGGAACAACCGTAATAGCATAATCAATTATATTAAAAAAATGTCGTCTGATTGACAGCCACTAATTTACCCACTGTCAACTTCCTACTACAACCACAAACTGGGGCTGAGAAAAAGAGAAAATCACAACACAACACAGAAAAGGGAGGCTGTGGATGTTGGCCAGCTGGGGGCATGCAAATCACAAGGGGCATGTGATGGCTGGCATACATGGCCTCAGCAGCACTGTTATGTTTGTATTGGTCATTTTATTGTCTCCTACCAACACCTTCCTCACATCCTCATTATATGTCCGCTGTATAATTTCCTAGACTCTTGCCTTTTATCCAATGCATGTTGAGAACTAATTCCTGGCATTTTAGAAAATTCTTTAAATGTTATTTATTAACATTTACTCATAATAACATTTAAAGTAAATGTTATTTACTCATTTATTAACATATACTCATAATATAGTTTGATGTCAGGTAGGTGGAGTGGTAGGGGGAAACTGGAGACAACTGTAATTGAACAATAATAAAAAGAACAAAAACAAAGTGAACATAAAAATTAGTTTATACTCATTACTAAATATCAAATGATACAAAAGACATAAAGTAAAAACTCAAAGTTGACCTGCCCTCATGCCCAATTCTCCACCCCTTCCGAGATTACCACTCTAAGATGTTGGGAAGTGACTTTCCAGATCTTTTCATATACATTTACACACACACAATTTTTACGTAAGGATATGATAGTATAATTGTGTCTCATACCTCATTTTGCTTCTATAATATATCTTTGATATCCCTCCACTTTACTGTATTTCTATTGCATTATTTTAAAAATATATATTTTATTTATTTAATTTTAGACAGAGGGGAAGGGAGGGAGAAAGAGAGAGAGAGAAACGTCAATGTGTGTTTACCTCTCAAGCACCCCCTACTGGGGAACCTGGCCCACAGTCCAGGCATCTGCCCTGGACTGGGAATCGAACCAGCAACCCTTTGGTTCACAGGCTGGTGCTCAATCTACTGAGACACACCAGCCAGAGCTGTACTGCATTCTTTTTAATGCCTGCAGAGGGCCCATAGATAAAGTGTTTCACCATGACTCTATTGACAGACACTTAGGTTGTCTATTTGTTTTGCTCTTATGAAAGTAATGCTGCATTGAATGCCCCTGTACAGTTTTTTTTGTACAATGGTGTGATGAATATCCATTTATGTGCAATGAATGCCTTTGTACACATCATGCATATTTGTAAGTCCTTTATTATGATAAGTTCTTTGAACTGGAACAAATCCTGTCAAGATTTTAAGAAGTCTTGACTGTTGCTGTATTTAAACATATATATATTTGAGAGAGAGGTTCTACTTTTTCAATGGCTTCAAAATACAAAGGAACAAGAGATGCTATTGCTATATATAGAGAGATGCCTACTCATAAAGTTTATTCTGAGATTAGCACCAAGAATAAAAATGAGATGTTGTGGGATGAGGAAGGAGAATTTAGCTTGCTACCTTTCCTCTCTTCCAGGGTTATGAGTAAAAGTCTAAGGCTTGGGGAGGGTTTATGTGGCATGTCCAAAGTACCTTTGCCAAAAGGATGGGCAGGCCTACTTGACAATCCACAGAACCACTTCACTGTTTTGGATAGGTGTACTGACCTGATTGCCTTACAGAAGACAAATATTTGGCAAGTCATCAGGAAAGGGAACCAACATCTGATCTAGATGAAGGGTTCCCAAGGGCTGGGGCTCCAATTTCTCTTCCCCCCTCCCCTCCCCTCCCCTCCCCTCCCTTCCCCTCCCCTCTTTCTACTCTCTTCTCCTCTCTTTTCCTTTCTTTATTCTCTCTCTCTCCCCTGCTGTGGTTACCAATTATACAGTGTACTTAAATGGTTACAGGTTGGTGATGATGCCATTTAAATTTTCGAGGAAAGGCAAAAAAAATAGTGTTAGAAATAGGCCCTTTTATGGAGCTGCTGGGAGAGTAGCCATGGAGAGAGGAAAGTTTGGCTTGATGCTGTGGAGTGTTGAATTATTTGAGCTATTCACACTTACTGCTTCTCTGTTGGCAGGTTGCCGGAAGATATCACCATCAGAATGTTCCCACGACAATTCTCCATCCCCTATTTATTAAAAAGAAATAAAAAAGAATCATGCATACATAAAAGGGGAAAATATCACCCCTGTAACCCAGTAATATTTTGGTTCTATGATCCCAAAGTTCTCTAGATATTTTAACTATTCTTCAAAAATCAACACTGGTGTGACCCCAAAAAGTCAATAAAAAGGAAAAAAGGAAAAAATTAAAAAACTCCCATTTTTTTTTAAAAAAGCAACACTAAAGGATGTGCCTCATTTGTCAAAACAACTCTGAAGAAAGTTACCACTTTATAAAGCAGACCATCAACCAACATTGCCCATAATTTGGAAAGTAAAAGGGAAAATAATCACTTTCCACTTTAATATAACCATCATTGTCACTTTTGCTTATCTTATTCCAGTGACAGTTAAATATTTTGCAGGTCATATTTAACTTGAGTTTAAACTACCATTAACAAATGAGAGCTCTGAATATTTGGTCTGTCATGATTTGTTAAATTCACCATTGTGTCTCTGCGAAGTTATGATATAATCTGAAAGTTAAGGTAAAACTTGCTAAGGTTGGAGTGTTTACATAACAAATATCTAAGATAGCCTTCTCTATTTTTTTTTGGCCTGAGACACCTTTCTTTGAACAGATAATCCCTATAATTACTGCCAGAGTAACTGTCTTTAGGAGGACCACAGCCTGGAGAGCTGCAAACATACAGCAGATATAGATACTCCTCAGGTGATTAAAGATAAAAAACTACCTGGCTGGCATAGCTCAGTGGATTGAGCGTGGGCTGCGAACCAAAGTATCGCAGGTTTGATTCCTAGCTAGGGCACATGACAGGGTTGCAGGACACAGCCCCCAGCAACCGCACATTGATGTTTCTCTCTTTCTCCCTCCCTTCCCTCTCTAAGAATAAATGAATAAATCTTTAAAAAAAAAGCCCATGGCTGTCGTAGCTCAGTGGATTGAGCGCGGGCTGTGAACCAAAGTGTCATAGGTTCGATTCCCAGTCAGGGCACATGCCTGGGTTGCAGGCCAGGGCCCCCAGCAACCGCACAGTGATGTTTCTCTCTCTCTCTCTCTCTTTTTCCCTCCCTTCCCTCTCTAAAAATAAATAAATAAAATCTTTAAAAAAACCCCTAGAAGATAATTCCCAAGAATATTACCTTTGTTATGTATGACCAAGCAAGCAGATGGAAATAACTTGGTTTTAGAAATGTTTGCATCACTCTGAGTACTATTTGTGTGCATGTGTGTGTGTGTGTATAGAAATAGAGATACTGATAAACAGATATAGATTTACCTACATATCTAGATGGGGATAAACCCAATATCAATCCAACTATATATTTTATGGGATAACAAGAAATACAAAAGAATATATCATTAATAATTTCCTAACTTAATTCACCTCCCAAGGTTTCAAAACTTAAGTCTAAATAGTAATATGTCAATGGTTCAAACATATGGTAGTACTCTTAGGGAAAATTATATAGTATTATTGGCTTTTAAGGCTTGAAAAACACCTCAAAATTAGTTTGATAGCAATATTATAATCAGTCAGTGACATTAACAAATTACAACTTTAACTTTTTGTGATTCAGAGATCATCTTATGGAAAAAATTAAGAATTTTGAAGATTTAACTATGGTTGCTATGTTAACCTTCCTAAAATTATCACTTTGACTGTATAATTGTAACACTCCCTGATCTAAGCCATTAGTGGGTTCTCATCCAAGATGCTCTATAATTAGCTGCAACCTCATCTTTGTTGAGCACTTACTTCCCACCCAGCTATCTCGGCTATATTACAATGGGAACTCTCTGACCTTGCTCTTTATTGAACACGTGTCTCCCATTCTTGCTTCCATGCTTTTGCTCATGTTATTCTTTTTCTGAAATTTTCTTCTCACCTCACAAACCCCATTGCTCCCCTATGCCTATAAAAAGCATTAAGTTTTCTTTCTCTACAAAATTTTCTTCAAGCATTCTTACATATTTCCCATTGCCTAAAGGATTTAACATACTATAGCCTGAGAGATGCATAGGAGTTCAAGTATAATTTTGTCCAGCTGCTACATTTAACAGATGGAGAAACCAAGGCTGAGAGAAGGGGAGTATCAGCCATTCACAGTCACATAATGAGTTCATGAATGTTAACACCAAATTCCCAGATTCCCTGGCTTTCAAATAAATGTGTACCTTACATAAGGGCTGGGTTTATTATTTGTGTTATTTATCTGTATCACCATCATCTATAACAATGCCTGACACATAGTTTTCACTCAATAGATGCTTGTCAAATGATGGAATTGGAAGGTATTCTCTGACCACTTATCTAAAATTTCAAACCCCTCTGATATCTTATCTCCCTTATTTGTTTTTTCTTCTTAGGACATAAATTATCCTGTATTCTCTATATTTCATTGTCTGCTTTTCCCCATAAGAATTACCCTCTGATATTAGGCTTGAAATGAGAACAATAATTTCTGCCTATCATGTTCACTAATATGATAGCAGTACCTACAACAGTGCTGGGCATATAGTTAGTACTCATTAAATATTTCTTGAATGAATAAATATTAAAACTTTCTACAATACCTTCTGCTGTCAAATGTTTCTTGAGCCTGGTTTGTCTCCATAAATTGACTATAAGTGCCCTAAAACCAGAGACCATGTCTTAGATCCTCCTCTGTACTGCCTAGATCAGTAGTACTCCAGGTATGGTGTCTGGACAAGCAGCACCAACATTACCTGGGAAATTGTTAGAAGTGCAAAATTATATAACCCACCCCCAACCTACAAAGTAAGAATCTTTGGGGTGGGGGTCAGTGACGTAGGTTTTAACTGTATAATTGACAAGTGCTCCTGAGGACAGTGATGCATTCACGAATTTGAGAATAACTTGGATGAACAATTAGCATTTTCTTAGGAACCTGTCGTACTGAGTATATTTACTAAATTGAACCACAGTCACAAATATAGAATTAACTACTTGGCCAATAGTATACTAACCTCTTTCTGGTTACTCCACATCTGAGTAAAGATGGTAGACGAAGACTACATGCAAGCTATATGGAAACCCTGAGTGACCCTGTAACAGTGATGATTTCACCTTTGTTTATGTCTAGAAAATAATGCCCAAAGTTACTTGACATGCATTGAAAGCTTCTTTGGTAAAGAGCCTCATAAGAAGGCAGAAGGAGGGTACAAATGAGACTGGGCCCTTGCACTTAACATATTAATAACCTGTTTGGAGGTGACAGCAAATCAATATAGGAAACAGCCTAAAACATGCACATAGAGTAACAAATGGATATACAAATGGAAAGTACATGCTTAGGAGATATTGAATCAATGAAATGAGCATTCATATGCAATCATGAAAAGTTTCCCTAAATAATTTTTAAGACATTGATGTAGACAGAGGTATCTCAACCTAAAGAAATGACAGCAAGCAAGGTGTGGCTTGAATAGAAACCTCTGATGCAAAACAAGAGAAATGGGGCTGGTGGAAGGAGAAACAGGGAAAGGAAGGGTGAAACAGAGGGAGAGAGAGAAGGAGGGAGGATGGGAGGAAGAAGGTTGTTGAGGTATATATGGGTGGTCAATTATTGCTGCATGAACTTCAAAAACAGGCTGAAGAATCACATTTGATCTTGTTACCAATTTTATTATTATTGCTTTAAAATTATTTTATTGTTATTCAATTACACATGTCTGCATTTTCTCCCAAAAACTCTGCCCCACCTGAGCCAAACCCACCTCCCTTCCTTGCTTCCACCCTCCCTCTTGGTTTTGTCCAAGTGCCCTTTATATTAGTTCCTAAAAACACTTCCCCCAAATGTGCCATCCTCCCTCCCCTCTGCATATTGTTGGATTGTTCTCTTTCAATATCTGGGTATATTTTCTTTGCTTTTTTCTTTTGTTGATTATATTACAGCTAAAGGTGAGATCATATGCTATTTTTCCTTCACTGCCTGGCTTATTTCACTTAGCATAAGGCTCTCCAGTTCCATCCATGCTGTCACAAAGGGTAGGAACTCCTTTCTCTCTGCTGCGTATTATTCCATTTGGGTAAATGTACCACAGTTTTCTAATCCACTCATTTACTGATGGGCACTTAGATTGCAGCCAGCACTTGGCTATTATAAATTGTGCTGCTATGAACATTGGGGTGTATATGTTTATTTGGATTAGAGTTTTAGGAATCTTGGCATATAGTATGAACAGTTGAAATTCTGGGTCAAAAGGCAGTTTCAATTTTAGTTTCCTGAGGAAATTTCATACTGTTTTCCCCAGTGGCTGTACCAGTCTGCATTCCCATCAACAGTGCACTAGAGTTCCCTTTTCTACACATTCTCTCCAACACTTGTTTGTTGATTTGTTTATGATGGCCATTCTGACTGGTGTGAAGTGGTATCTCATTGTGGTTTTACTTTGCATCTCTCTGATGGCTAGTGATCTGAGCATCTTTTCATATGTCTCTGGGCCCTCTGTATGTCCTCCTTGGAGAAGTGTCTATTCAAGTATTTTGCCCATTTTTAAATTGGGTTGTTTGTCTTCCTGGAATGGAGTCATGTGAGTTCTTTACATATTTTAATGATCAAGACCTTGTCTGAGGTGTTATTGGCAAATATGTTTTCCTATACTGTTGGTTCTCTTTTCATTTTAATGCCGTTTTATTTGGCCATTCAGGAGCTTTCTAATTTGATGAGATCCCATTTGCTTAATGTTTCCTTTATGTCCCTTGCCGGAGGGGACATATAAGTGAAGATGTTGCTGAGTGGACTGTCTGAAATTTTCCTGTCAATGTTTTCCTCTAGGACTTTTATGGTGTCACAACTTATATTTAAGTTTTTTATCCACCTTGAATTTATTTTCGTGTACGGTGTAAGTTAGTGATCGAGTTTCTCTCTTTTTTTTTGCATGTAGCTGTCCAGATCTCCCAACACCATTTGTTGAAGAGGCTGTTTTTATTCCATTTTATGCTTCTTCCCCCTTTGTCAAATATTAATTGACCATAGA